AATAAAAATTATTTCTTAATAAAATTATAAATTTTAATATAGAGAGAAAATTTTAATTTTCACTATATTTTATTAATTAATTTAGTCTTTTAGTTATTACTATATTTAAATTTTATAAAATTATTATTTATATAATATTTATATTTATTTATATTTTAAAAATAAATTATTTAATAATAATATATAACAAAATTATTTTTTATATTTTTTTATTATTTTTTATTATTTATAATTAAAAATAATAACTAATAATTTATATATTTTTTATATTATAAAAAATATATAAACTAAAATAAAAAACTTAGAATTTTTAAAATTTATAAAAAAATTATTATTTATATTTTTGATACTTAAAATTAAAAAATATTATTTATTTAATAAAAATCTTATTAATATTTTTTATAAATTTGAATTTAAATTTAAAAATTTATTTTTATATTTTTAATAAAATTTTTTTAAAAAATTATTTTATATATTATTTTCAAATAATTTTATTTATTAAATTATAAAAAATTTTTAGTAAATTTTAATAAATTTTTATTATATAATAAAGAAAAACATAATTAAATTATTTTTTATATAATTTTTTATAAAACTTTTTTATATATAAAATATAAATTTAATTATTTTTTGGCTTAATTTTTTGTATAAAAATTTAATTAAAAAATTAATACTAATTTTTTTTAATAAATAGTCTTTTTTTATAAATAATAAAATATATTTTATATATATATAGTCAGATAACTTTATAGTTATTATACTTAAAAAAGTAAAAATAGATAACTAAAGAGAGATATGATTATAAAGATTTTTAATTAGCAACTATAAAATTCAAAAAAGATGACTATAAAAAAAATGATTATAAATAGATATAGTTATAAACAAAGCTGATTATATATATAAATTTTTATATTATTTAAGTAATTTTATTAAATTATAATAAATTAAAAAAGCTTATTTTTTTATATTATAATAAATAATTTTAAATTTTATAAAAATTAAAATATAATATTTTATAATTAGAATTATTCTTTCAAAAAAATTTAAAAAGTTAAAATTTTAATATAAAAAGTTTTGTATTTTATTATAATTAATTAATAAATTTGAAACCTTATTAAAGTTTGAGAACTTTTTAAATTAATCTTTGAACTTTAATATAAATTTAAAATTATATAATATTTTCTGTTATTAAACAATTCTAAATAGATTTGTTTTTTAAATATCAAAAAATATATACATAAAATTAGTTATATTATTTAACTAATTATGAAATATTTTTTGTTATACAATCAAATTATTAAGCAAAGATAATAATATTTTAAACATATTTTTTATAAAATTGTTTTTATTTTCTAATTGCAAAATAAGAATATAATAAATAAATATTTGTACAGTTAAATCTTTCTAAATACAACTTGCTGGATCAATTGTTGATACCATATATTTCGAGAAAATAAATTATATTTATGGCAATTAAGTATGTTTGGGCCAGAGTTTTTAGAAAGATTATATTTAGGAAGGTCTGACTGTAATTAGAAATTAAATCTGAAAAATATATATGTATTTAAGAATAATTTATTAAGGAAATATATCTAAATCTTATTACTTTTATTGTCCGGAGCGTAAGCAAATGACTATATATTATTCTACGATATGTGAAAATGTGACTGGTTATAAATAGATAAACCAATTAAAAAAATTTATCGTTCCGGTTAACCATTTCCCACCTGATAATCAAAGAGTTACATGTATCAATCAAATTAAAAACCCTTTTTGCCGTTAAATTTTTTTGGCGACGTTAAATTTGATAGAAACATAATGAGCGAAAATACTGACATTAACTCAGAAATAGTTATCTTAGATGTTGGCGGTATTAAGGTATATTTTCAGCAAACAATCTTATACCAAAGAAATCTTTCTATTAATTTTTATGTCTAAATATTTAGTACAAAACTTTTCGTTCAACTCTAACCGCACACCCAGACACTTTACTTGGCACAATGTTTTCGGATCGAAATCAGCAACTTCTGAAACCAATAAATGGTAACGAATATTTTTTCGATCGCAATGGTCGCGCTTTTCATTATGTTATGGAATACTATCGTACTGGAAAGCTTTCTTTACCCAGTCAATTGGACAACAAAACAACTGAATTCTGGGTAACGAGAGAAGAAGTTGAGAAGGAACTCGATTATTTTCTCATCAATAACAAATTTGAACAGCAATATAAGGAGGTTCAATTGACTATAGCAGAGCATCTTCGTAAATTGGTTGCTTTCCTGGAACAACTGCTTTTGAACGAAATGCGATCAATGGTAACTGTTAATATACTTTGTAAAGTATATAATTCTAAGATAAAAATACAAAATAGGATAGAATATTTTTCCTATGGATCAGAAACTGCGTTTCATTTGACAAAAGAATTTCATCCTGAAATTTCACGACACTTGAAACATAAATTCTCGGGATCAACTATTACTTCTCAATTGAAATTCGATAATTCTGAATATCACGTCGACTTTGAAATGACCCTTAAATATGATAAAGAATTTATTTTGGGTCATTCTAATTTGAAGGTAAATTTTCTAGTGCTATGATTCGATTGATTCAATTTTAAGTTCTAACCTCTGTTTTTAGGTTGATTAATTAGATCTGCTAAAAGGTTCTTTTATCTATTGAAAATCAAAGTTTAGTTTAAATTTTTCACTTTCTCTGATAATACTTTTATTGGTTTTCCATTATATGAACCCAATGATCTTAAATATCGATATATATTGTGTATGTTGGTGAAATAAAATCTAATCATTTTATTATGAAAATGATCGGTAACGATAATTTATTCCTTTGACCATGCGTGTGCCAAATAAACTTGTAAAGATTTACCTTTTACATATTCCTGGATGAGAGATAGGAAAAATAAGAAAGCTACAAATTTTATCGTTATATACTGTGATCAATTTTAACCGGATTTATTTGTAAAAGTTCATGATGCTAGTTTTTTTTTGTTGCTCCTAGTATAACGAGGTTCGAATGTAACAGATACACGTAATATTTTATACACTGAATAAATAAATTGTGACGTGTCTCAAAAAAATTCGCTGTATTAATGTACTTCACATACGGAGTCTAACTTATTATAGTTTCGTTGAATCATAAATTAAGGTTGATACATTTTTCTGATAAGCAAAATAATCCCAAATCCATAGTAAATCCATAGTGAAATTTGAATCACCTGCATTTTGTACACATTGTAAATAATCTAAAATTAGATTTTTAAGTACCAATGTCTCGTTTTCAACCTTTCAATAACAGATGGCGTCTTTCGTATACCATAATCAGTTACCAATTTTTTATACAAATTTACAATAACCTAGTGCTGCTACAAAATGCAAAATTAAAAATTCAGTACATGTATTATGTTCTTTTCGTTGTTGTTATCAATAGGGTTTGTGAAACATAAAATTGTGCGAACTCTTTCGCTTTTAATGTATGCGTATGTTGTTTCTCTATTCAATTACATATATTCAGCATTAATGAATGCCAAGAAACAGCGAGGATCCTACCCACCAACAACTACATGTACATGCACTATAAAATGCTGCTGATGGTTTTATCCAGTAAGTGTGCTATACTGCAACAAAACTTTATTTACTTATTTCATTCGCTCATCCATCCATTTAATTCAAAAGCAAAAAACAAACATGCAGAAAATCTCTAACAACGAAACAATAATTTGTTTGTGACTAATTCCCATACAAAATAAAAAGGAGTTTATTGTGGTTGATCACGACACGACATACCAATACGTTTCTTGCGGTTCGATTTAGGGAAAATTTTCTTTATACGCATATGTCTAGATTTTCTGAATTTTTATAAATAATTGCACAAACCGTATACGCGTTGTAAACTATTTAATTTCTCTCTAAAAGATATGAGAAAAACGCATTTCTGTTGAAAATTCTAAAACGCGCATGTTTTATAATTAAATATAAAGCTTAAATGCAATTATAAATGAAACCTATTATATAACGATAATATCAACCTTATTGAAGTGCATTTTTTATAATACAAATAAATAACACTTCATAATTTTTTGTAAGAGGTGTGATATATGAGATGATAATATTCTAGAATGGAAGAGGATTTGTATATAATCTCAGGTATTATTTTTTTCAAAAAATACAGCAGTATGAAGGAGTTCAATTTCATAACGATTCATAATAAAGGAAATAAATGTTACATCACTCTTCTAATCAAGTCTTTGTTCAATAATTTTATATTTAGAATTTCATAATTATAAATTAAAAATTTATATCAAAAATTTAATTTTTACAAATTATCTTATATATATAACATTTTAAAAAGTACTTAAATTAATAGAAAATTAATATGAATAAAATAATGATATTTTTTGAAAATATATACTAATTAAAACATTACAATATTAAATCTATTAAATATAGTAAATATAAGATTCTATTCTATAAATTTTATTAACATTTATTTTATATTAAATAAACTTTTATATATTTTTTAAATTGCAAAATTTTAATTAAAAAAAATATAAAAATCTATAAACTACATTGGTAAAATTAATAATTATTTCTAATTTAATTTATTTTATTTTAGAATTTTATTGAATATTTTTGAACTTTTTTTTGAAAAAATTAGTTAATTAAGTGATTAAATAAATTTTCTATTAATTTGATATTCAATCTTGAAAGAATTTGAAAAGACATTTATATATGCACTTTTTATGATCAAACAAATAGCACTTTGTTATTATTTTTTTCTATATTATAAAATACAGTTCGTCGAATTATAATAATATTTGAAAAAGAATGGAAACTTACCATTTACATTTTTTATGATAAAATTTATTAAAGTTAAATTAACTCAATGCTACATGGAATGAACGTAATCAAAATTTGTGCGATTATATGTATAGTTTTCGTTACATAATGTGTGAAATAAAATTAATTATTTATAATATTCATGATCCATCTATCCATTTTGCAGATTTTTTCAATATCCGAATCAAAAAATAAATTCAATAATTTATAATTCGTATTTGAACTAATATTTCAATTTTTATATTGTTTTTTGCTCAATGAATTTCCGAATTAGGTTTGAAATTCAAATTTGGATTGAGATTCGAATTCGAATCCGAATCTTGATTATTCGATTTGGTGAGTAAAAAAGTTTGTCACATAAAAGTGATGTTACGGAGGGTGTGCATGTCAAAAAATTAAAGAAAATTAAAGAGGGATAAGAGAAATTTTAAGTTTTTTTTTTCCCTATTGTTGTTACGGCATTGTGCGATTTAGCCTGGATATGCTATAATGGATTTTCTGAGAGGCCGATTTATGTATGATACGACAATGACATGAGTGGTAAGGTTTTATCGCAATCAGCCGGTTGTGATACGTACATTGAAATGAAGAAATCCCCTTTTTGTACTACAATATCTTCGGGGGGAATGTCTTTCAGCTTCTTTATATGATATAGTCAATCAACATAGTGACAAAGCTACATATATTGCGAAATAGACCTTAATTTCCTCTTTTTCATTTATTTCAAATAATTATTTAATAAAAGATTATTCCTCTCTCCATGTCAAAGTAGATTGTGAAGCTACCCCTATTTTTTGCTAAATTAAAAAAAACCATCTAAAAAAACGCCAGCATACTGCTCGGCAACTATTAAAACCCATAAACGTGAACGAATACTACTTTGATCGTAGGTTCCCAGCATTACATTACGTCATGAAGTATGGACTTTTTCCATCGTCACATGTTAAGTAGAACTCTCTGGCTAACAAGAGCGGGGAAACGAAAGCCGGATTCACTATTTTCAGATTATTTTTTCTATGATAAGAATACCGGGAATTTGCGATATCATCAACCGGAACAACAATCAAATAGTTATTCCGCTCTGAAATTTATTGGAATCTACGAAATAGAAACCTGATCCGTTCGTTTGGCTATCAACTCATGATGAGGGAAATACCCTTTATGTAATCGAGATATTCTCAACTAATAACTAAGTGCTTTGTATGCACTGCGACATTCCTTTAGGTTGAGTCAGTGATTAAGTTGATTCTCGATGGAGCACAAGCTCGTAAATATATAATTCCTTTTTTTGAAAATTTACTTCATCTAAATCGAGAGTTCACATTATAACGAGAGTGAATTGTAAAATCAATGTATACAATTAATGACAGATTATTAAATATATTTTGTGATAACAATACGCTAGCGCTAGTGGTAGTAAATGATAATGTCTTCATGTATAAAAATGGAAATATTGTATATGCACCTAAATGAAGTTTCATTTCGCTATAGAGAAATTACACGAATTTTATCCGGGCTCCTAAAATAGACCATTTCATCTTTTCCGTGTCATCAAAAATACATGTATTGATGTTGGAAATTGAATTGGCCCCCCCCCCCCCCCCCCCCCCTTCCCACCAAAAATTGGAGCAATCGTTCCACCAATAAATAACAATTAAAAATATGTACGAATCTCGTTCAGAGTCCTGCACACAACCAATCATCAATTTTTATTTATTTGTTAAGCATAACTTTTGAAAGTTAAAAAAATGATACACGCACAACACAACGCAGATAACGATAATTTTAAATAATAATTAATGTCCATGTGTCTTAATTTAAATAATGCAAATATATCTTAAAGAGGATAACTACACTCCCTCACGCTTGATTGTATTTTTTTGATTTCCACTCTAATTCTTAATTTGTTTGAAATATGATAAGATATCGTGGAAGAGTTGCCTGAATAAATAAAGATTCAAAATTAGAAGTTTTTCAAACTTATACAATTTGAAATAGAAATCAAGACTTACTTCATCTTGATCCACTATAATAATGGATGAACATGCAACATGAACAACGTCTATGACAAACATTGCCTTTACATCATTGTTGCCACAATAGCTCAAAGATATTGAAGAACTTGCAGCGAACCACATTTCTAATAGTATTTACGTTACGTAAATTTAATAAAATCGCTAGAATTAAGCAAATATACAGAGAATCAACCAAACGAATACTTACTGCCAGAGTATCTAGAAAATATTTTCCGATTCCCTTCCTTGACAATCCCACACATGCCACATGATTTCTCGCAAAATCGGCTAGAACACAGCACCTCCGTCGGATTACAATTCGTCTTTGTCCCATGAAACATACGATGTGTCACTTCTTCAGGCTTCACTTTATTCGTTGCTGCGAGATTCTTTCGATACTCAAAGAAATTACGGCAGATCTCGTATGACATTTGCAGGCGAATAATTGCGATAACATTTGATCGAGGTAGATCAGCAATGAATTTCTCATGGATTGAAATGTAGTCTATATCGTTGGGTTCGAGCACGCTCGACCGTGTAAGCATCAGGCTTGTTACTTGACTCCAGTAACATCTTGCAGAACAGTAAGATTTGAATTTTTTTGGGTCTTGAGGATCAACGTATGCAAGATTCTGACATGTGGAAAGAGCGCAAGGTTTCCGTCCAT